GAATGAGTCTTCATCTCCAAACTATAATTGACAACAACTCCAGAAGAGAGAGAGAGAAGAAGCTCATGAGAAAATAATCTCATCAATGGAGAACAATGAAGTAGAAGATGAACCAAGGGAGGTGGTACTGCAGCCACTACCTATACTTCTTCCACCACCATACTCACTCAAGGGAACAGAGAAACTCACTTGTGGGAGTGAGCTGGTGGATGTGCTGAAAATTGATGAGACTTGTCCTCCAAATGAAGAGGTAGTTGACTTGGGATTTATACATATCTTTATGAATGAAGAAGAGTCAACTATCTCCATTGATGAGGGTCATGTTGATGGGGTCAAAGGTAAACATACTTGGGGAGTGCAAGAAGAGATGGTTGATTTTGATCAATTTCAAGCCGAGAAAATCCCCAAAGTGTTGGAAGAGTTGAGCAAGATAGATTCCTTTCTATGTTGGATGATTCAAGAGAATGCTTCTTGGAGGCATGATAGACTAATTGATGGCACATTATTGCGGTATCAAGACGGCTATTCTGAGTGACTTGAAGCCATAAGAGTTGATTATGGAATGCATCTTGCATTTCAACATTTTGCTCGCTTCATGGGAGGCAACCCATGTTCTTTTTATTTTAGTGTGTTTTTGTGTGATTGTAATTTTTTTTCTTGTTTAATGTGTGTGCTTCCATGTGCAGAAGAAATATCATTACCATCCCAATTCAATTGGTCATCCAAAAATGTAGCAGATCCTGATATCAGTCACTCAAGAGAGTGAGTTTAGTCACTCTCCCAAGTGTGCCTGCATTCACCTGAGTGACTCTGTCACTCCCAGGAGTGACTTTGAACTGCAAGCTGAGTGTTGTGACTGGTTTGCTCTTGATTTCTTTTAGTCTGCATAGGATCTGTGCTTTATTTTAAGTTTGGGGGAATTGATGTATGCTCTGGTCATGTATAATTGTTGTTAGTTTATTTTGTTTTTAAAACAAAATATGGGAATTTTGGAAAACTGAAGCTGTTGACTTTGAAATTTTGTGTGTTTATTGCTGAAAGTTCTAAGACACCTAGGGAAGTGACTCATGTCACTCGGCAAAGTGACTCTGAACCTACTTGATGTTTGAAGTCAATTTATTTATTTTACCCACCCATATATTTTGTTTTACCTTTCTGTTTTTTTTTTTTTTAGGTTCTTGAGATATCTTTTGTATGTCATATCCCTTAGTAGCTTGTTAATTCTGAAATTTGGTGTGCTTAATGTGTACTTGCTAGGCTTTAGTCTGGGGTAAACTTCTAATATTTTTATGAGCATTGATGCCATATCTAGCAAGTTTAGGGAGAATTTTCAGAATTTAGCATGTCCGATTGCATATGGGTCACCTAGTTCTTTCTGAGCATTATTGTTAAAAAGCTAAATCTATTTATGGAACTATGGTGTTTCTTGTTTGTTGCTTTCTATGGTCTCTGTGCTTAACTATATGAACCAAGGAACTTCATGAGTTTAATTTTTGATATCTTTAGTCTGTGTTTTAATTCTAATCCTTGGTATTTGAGAAAACTAAATTTGCAGCTAAAGAAGGACTGTAGAGTCACTCCCACGAGTGACCAAAGTCATTCCAACGAGTGACACTGCAGAAAAATAAAAATTTTGAACTCTTATAGCTGCTGAATCTTTTTTGTGTTCTGACGTTGCAATTCCAGGCTGTTGTACAAGGATGTCGCGATCCCTTGTATGGAGTATATTTCGACACAACATAGAGCTTGCAACAAATCGAACAGATATGTTGAATGATGTGCATCATGAAGCCCTCCACATCCATTTCAATTGCTCCAACTCAGGGAAGTCATCCTCTACCTCACTCACAGGAATGAGAATATCACTCCTGCGAGTGACCACACAGTTTTTGTTGTGAATTGTTTTTGTTTCTGTGAACTGTTTTTGTTGTTATTTTTGTGTTTGTTTGATCTGTTTGTCAGCATTGGAGACAATGCTTTGAATAAGTTTGGGGGAGTAGTAGGGAGCATCTTTATAATTGTTTTATTTTTTATTTTTTGTTAATGCTAGTTTTATGATAATTGGATATCTATGAAGACCAATGTACTTAATTTCTTATATCTAATTCAAATTTTGATTTTACCTAACTCTTTGTTATCATCTCTACACTACTTAAGCATACATGCCTTTTATGCTTAGTTACATTGAAGTTGAGTTTTATAGCATGCTCTGTGATGTTCTAAATTGGTTAAAAATATTTAAATGACTTTTCTTGCGAAGTGTGGTTTGTTTACATGCTAAAGAGTTGACTAAGGCAAGCTTAATGACCCTCTCTAATACCTTCTTTGGGAATTGATAGGCGGAATGCTCAAAAATGAGTGAATAAAAAAGTTCAAAAGAACTTGAGGGAGTATAAGGTAGAGCATCAATGCTAAATCTCTTAGAGTGAAATGGCAACAATGAGTGATCCTTTGGGCTGGAAAGCAAAGTCTCCTATCGAAAGCTCTCGGTAGGAGGGGTCAGAAGTTGGAAAGAAAAAGAATCATGAGTCATCAATAGAAAAAGCCAAAAGACTCGGAGGTAAATAAAAGGGAATGAGGAGAATAGTTGAAAAGTAATGAATTGTGAGAGTCCTTATATCTCTGAGGCTGTATTGGCCACATTAGCATGATTGTGGTAAGAAAAAAATGAGTCATAAGGCTAAGAAATCTTTAAATATGCACCATGAGCTGTTATTTACCTTATACTAATTTGTTACTTCGCATACTTGGCATGATTCACACACACACGGAGGTGATTTCGTAAAGACTAGGTGAAATTCGAATTTGGATGAAGATATACTTGTTTTTCTTGCATCTGAGATATTGTATCCGATTATCATATGAACTAGTTATGCTTGATAGTTGCTGTGAAGTTCTTGTATGTTTGTTGCAGTGTCACTTGCCTGAGTGACTTTTGTCACTCAGGGGAGTTAGTAGTGTCACTTGCCTGAGTGACATTTTCACTCAGGGGAGTCAGTGGTTAGCTTTTGTTTTCTTGTTTTTGTGTGTAGTTCTCAAGGGTTAGATTGTCTTGCTTGAGGACAAGCAACTCTTCCAGTTTGGGGGAGTTGATAATGGTTAATTTGTTACACAAAAAGCATTAATCTACTCTGAAATTAATGGAGAATTAGGGGTGTTTCTTAGAATTAGTTCATTTTGCTTAACTAGTTTTGTGTTTTTGCATAGGTAAGGACCTAAGTGCATAACTGCTGGAAAAGAGGGGCTTTAGGAACAAAAATTAGGCTGCTGAAATTAAATTTTGCTGAGCTGGTCAAAGATATCTCCAAGACACAATTTAATGAGTGTGTCCCATCCAAGGGCATGCTTGTCCCCTTGGTTAGACTCCCAACCGCCCATGATGATCAATGTTGCAGCTGATACCAGTGCTGGAGAAGGGCAAGAGACCAGTCAATTCTCGGATTCAAGACACAAAGCATTGGGAGGAATAAATAATTCACAAGCATGGGGAGGCTATCTTGGAAGAAGAACCGGCTTCGAAACTCTATAAAAGGAGTTGCATTCCCAGCATGAAGGGGGATTTGAGTGGACATACAACACACAAAACACCACAGAGAGAGAAGAAGAGAGCGGAGAGGGGAGAAAACTCCAAAGGAAAAGAAGTCCAGTAGCAGAAAAGGAGGAGTAACATACCTCACTCGCCTAAGTGACCTTTGTCACTCAGGCAAGTAACCTGTTGCTCAGCTATACAGATTTGCTTCTTCTCAACGTTTTCCTTCTTTTCTTGTATTTTCGATAGTTTGTATGTGTAGTTAATTAGATTTCATTCTCTGGAACCTATGTAGTTTAAGTTTGTGATTGCATTCGGATGATTTTGTGTTTTGAAGTTAAAGCTTTCATCTACCTCTTGATTATATTGGCCATTTGATTGATTGTGCATAGAACTAAGTGAATCTCTGAACGGTAAACAAGATTCAGAATCATTTAGCTTCAACTTACGACTTGGAGGTAACAATCCAAGGTTCTAATTGAGATAGGAATATACTTGGTTAGCATAAGCATTCATATAAGGCTTGAAAACTTCATGACTTTATGACTTGATTAATCATTGGAAAATAGTTTAATTGAGTTAATAAAGATAGCACTAGGAAAAATCGGAAGTGGCTTAGAGATATATAAGTGCCTGAATGAGCATGAATTCATACCAAAAGTGTGCAACATTACAGCTTGATTACATAAGGAAAAGAGAATGAATATCTAGTTTGCAGAGTCAGTCCCTTGAGTCGGAATTCTCACTCCCGTGAGTGAGGTTGCATTTGTCTTTCTTTGTCTTCAGTTCTGCAGAGTCACTTGCCTGAGTGACTTTACCCACTCGTGAAAGTGAGTGACACTCATGCAACTTTCTTTCTTGTTTGTCCAATTTCATGTTCCGGTTATTTGACGTTTAACCCGTCCCTGTGGGATCGACCTGACTATCCCATCTATAATTTAAGTTGGTAAATTATTTTGGGGGCTTCGACAACCCACCAATGGTTGGACCAGGAATCAAGAATATTGGGAAAGATGCAATCATCCAAACTGAAAATAAGCAACGCTTCTCAAGGGGAAGACGAATCCAAGCCAACCCTACGCCAAGCACTCATGAGTTTAATTTTTGAGATGAAGAACTAGATGATGATGCACAAGTATCATCGTCCACAATTGGTCGACAACTTGGGAGTACACGTACATTACCAACAAATTCTAATGCAAATGACACTCAAAATACTTGGTTGCTACTAGGAACGATGAGCAAATTGTTCAACCTCCTGCTAAGCTTACATGCAAAACTAAAGGCACATATATTTTGAATAAGAAATTTGATTATTCTTTTCATTTTTCTGTTTGTAAAATTTAAGAACACTTGATTTTTTGTTTATCTTTTCTCTTACTATGAGCATTAAATGATAGCTGCTCCGCCAAAGAGAGGATTACTAGGAATACCCGACTATCTTACAAAAAGGAATGCTAATAAACCTGTTATGGCGGAGTTTGATGAATCGTCCAAACACATAGTTGGATCAGGATCACAAGACTTCATTCAAGAATTGGGTTGCGTTGTTCATAAAATGGCTTATTTCACTTTGAAGAATTTCCAATCCCAAAAAGAAACTTTGATTGCTGGCACTATTAAGAATGCATCGGTATGTTTTAGCATTTAGTTAAATATAGATTCTGCAAAAAAAAAAAAAAAAAAAAAGTAGTCCTTTTATAGTTGTGATTAAATTATTATTTTTCAAAGGTATAGGATGGAGTTCAATATGAGGATGGACCTTTAGCACGAGAATGCATTTTTAAGCAATTGGCCAGCAAATTCAAGATGCACAAGTTTAAATTGCATAAACTATACAAAACAATTGGACCTTCTTGCAAACATGAACGTTCTGGAAGGAATAAATGCTAAGGATTGGGCAGTTATTTGTGAAATTTTTTATGGTGATGATTTCAAGGTTTGTCCCTCTTGTGTGTCGCATCTATATATTATTGATTTTGCCTTGAATTTCCTTTTGTTATAGAAGCAATGGAACATAAAAATGATTGATTTGACTGTTTTGATTGTATATGTGGCAGAAAATCTCAGCACTGAATACAAAGAATAGAGCCCTTTTTGAAGTTCCACCTCCTACTGGAACCATATCTCTTGCTAGATATATCGAAGAAAAGGTATAGACAGTGTGACACAATCATAGCATTTTTTTAATATCTTTATTGTTCTTTCTAATATCACTGTTTTGTGTTTTTGTTCCATTTTGATAACAAAAAAGTCACCCACATTGAGCCTTATAAGGTAGGTCATTACTCAAAAATAAAAGGCGCGATGCTTAAAGAGAAAGTGAGTGAAACCCTAGATTCATTTTCATTAAAGGAATGCAATTGTATTTTTTGATTAAAACATTTGCAATGCATGTCTTACATTGACTAAAATGTGAATATGTGTGTTTCGATTAATTACATTATAGGCTAAATTAGAAAATCAAAAAGAAACTACGAACATGGATGATATCATTTTCTGCCTGGAAGTCATTAAAGGTATACTTGGTCATACACGTGGACGATCCGCACCAAAGAAACAATTTTTAGCAATTGAAAGAAGTTGTGATGAGATAAAAAAAAAAAAAAACAAGTAGAAAAAGGATAAACAACTTATTACTCTCTCTTATTTTTTTCAAAATTTGATGATTGCAGGGAATCCACATAAAAGCACATTTTTGAAGATATAGATCATATTCGAAGAACTTGAAAATAACATATTTATTGTTGTTTAGTCATAAAAAGTAATACAACAAGTCTGTTACTATAGAGTGTAGTGAATTTTAGTTTGATTTATTAATCTTTTCTAGCAATTAACAAACTATTTAGGAATCATTATTTAAATTGGGTAGTTTGTAATAAGACATTTATGATGAAAATTTCTATACTTATTTTTTATTTTTAAAATTTGAAATTATGGTAACATTGTTGTCACTAAACACTAATCTTTTGAATAATTGATTTAATTATCTCATTTTGTTAGTGATAACATGTTGACATTTGGACTATGGCCACTCACGAGGTAATACGATGGCGATAATATTCGACAATAGGTGTATTCATTATTGACTATTATTAAATGTCAATTTTAACCTCAATAATTAAGTTATTGGTAAAGTAATCCAGTCATGGCATTATGGGACGGTAATTGTTGTCATTATTGACAACTTCTTAGTTTACCATTATACCCTCATAAAATAATTAGTCATGTGACAACATTTTGTCATTCATTTGGCGTCACAATTTTATGTAATCTATTCACAACTTAAAGTAGTCACTAGGCCATGATGATGTCATCTTTATAATGGTCATTAAAAGAGTTGACTATCGGTTTGAAGTAACAGCAAAATATAATCATTATAAAAAATTAGTCATTTAATTGATGTAGTTTAGTGACGACTATATGTAGTCAAGAAGGTATGCTTACGTCACATTTCCTTCATAACTGAAAGAGTTGATTGAAGATCCTAGTGACGTCAAAAAATAGCAACTATGAAAACGCGTCATTAAAAAATGATGTTAATAGTGACGAAGTTGAGTATTTAATTACCATATGTAACGACTTATGATCGTAACTAATTCTAATGACGATCATTAAATGATCACTAAATTTACACCTTCAATGTCCAAATGAAAATTGTTGTGACTATAAGGATTAATTGACACCCGGATAATGGCAAACCATTGATGACATGATAGTCGTCACTGCATATCGCTAGTGACGATTCTTTGCCTTTAAATGACAACATGATTCTGTTATTAAACACAACTTGTTCTTGTAGTGATTATTGTGTGGAGTTATCCATATTCCAAATTATCTGCATTACTCCTAAACTTATAACTTTTTAATGAATAATGATTGTTGCAGGAAAAATTTTTAGGGAATGAATCATAGTTGTCCATAGTTAAGACTTACCTTCACGTATTTTTGCATTTAAGGGTTTTGAAATAGTTCAAATTCAACCACATCATTCCTTATTAAAATTTCCTGTAAAATTTTCCTGCATGCATCACTACTCTTTTTTCATATGCGACACTAATTTGTTAAGAATTGTTGACAATTTTTTGCTATAAATAAATGCGTTTTTTTTATTGCAAAACTAACAATTATAAATGTCAGATGAAGAGCTCCAGAACCACAATTAATTTGAGATTGATAAATTACTTAGTACCCATTGGAAATGCTTTAAGAAAATTGCTAACATGTCTTGTCCATTTGATTTCTTGCTTCCGGATGACTTTAATAAACTCATATGAGCACAATTATGATGTTGTAGCACTGGCAGCAGAGCACAACAATTTCATGCATCTCTTACAAAGAAACAGTAGGCGGTTTATGAAAAGATAATGGCTGTCATTCTCATACAAAAAATGGAGGAGTTTTCTTTTTGTAAGGATATGGAGGTACTGGAAAAACATTCGTTTGGAAAACTTTATCAGGTACTATTCGATAAAAAGAGAAATTGTTCTCAATGTGATTTCGAGTGTGATTGCTTCTATTCTCTTGGATGACGGAAGGACTATGCGCTCAAGGTTTATCATACCATAAATTTGGATGAAGAATCTTGGTGCAATTTTACCCCATAGAGTGACATGGCCACCTTGCTAAAGATGATAAACTAATAAAATGGGACGAAGCTCCAATAACTTATCGACACTGCTTTGAAGCTCTAGATAAGACAATGAGAGATGCATTGCACACATCCAATCCAATGACTATGGAACAACCTTTTGGTAAAAAATTATTGTGTTTGGTGGAGCTTTCAGACAAATTCTTCTAGTCGTTCCTAGAGGAAGTTGGCAAGACATAGTTAATGCGTCTATATGCTCTTCGTACTTGTGGGATTATTTGCGAAGTGGTTAGACTGATTGTGAACATGAGGCTTCGACCTAGAGGTCATGGTGAAATGTCAGAAGATATGATAGAATTTTCGAAATGGTTGCGAAAAGTTTGTGATGGGCTTATCAGAGGTCTTAATGACAATAAGACAAATATTGAGATTCCTGATAAATTACTTATCCACCCAACTAAGAAACTTATTGATTTTATTTGCAATACCATTTATCCATGGATAATATTTGGACACCAAAATTCTTTGCGGGCATAGCCATTCTAGTACCTACGCATGATTATCTGCATAGTGTGAATGATTTTATGTTGAAATTTCTACCAGGAGAGCCAAGAGAGTACTTAAGTTTAGACAGTTTGGATGACATAAAAAGTTTGAAAGTGATGAATATAATGAATTTCGTACTCTGGAATCACTAAACATCATCAAGTGTCCGGGTATGGCAAATCATAAGTTGGAGCTAAAGGTTGATGCTCCTATTATGCTGTTTCGGAATCTTGATCAATGTGGTGTGTTGTGCAATAGTACTAGGTTGCAAAGTTCTACATTTGGGTAATCGTGTTATCCATGTTGTAACTATTTCTGACAACAACATTGGAACAAAAGTTTTTATCCCTCGAATGGTACTTACTTCATCAGACAAAAGGATGCCTTTTAGACTAAAGCGCATAAATTCCCGTTCGCATTTTGTTTTGCTATGACAGTGAACAAGAGCAAATGTCAATCCCTCTTGCAAGTGGGACTGTATCTGAAACGACATGTCTTCACACACGGATAACTCTATGTTGCACTTTCGAGAGTAAAATCTAGAGAGGACCTCAAACTTCTAATAAAGGACAAGGAAGGTGGTGTAAGTAACCATACCACAAATGTTGTATACAAAGAATTCTTGTAGAAGATTGGATGATATCTCATTATATTCTGTTTTTTTTTGGTGTTATAATGTTCACATTGTTTACTATCCACTATCGAAATTCTTATTATCGATACCAATCGTCTACTTTTTTAATATAAAAGTTACTGAAATATTTAAATAATAATTATTGTTATCGTTTCTTATGTCAATCCTATGCACAACATATTTATTTGCATTTATACAATTACACATCACTCAACCCGTGCAAGACACGGGCTAAAATCTAGTTAAAGATGAAAGAGAATTTATCTTTCTAGTAGCAGCAATAGACACAATAATGATAAAGTCTAGGTGATGAAGGAGATAAAGAAAAGAATAAGAATTGAATAAAATAATATCGTGTATTTTTTTTTATTTTGCCAGAAAGTACAAAGAGTAACAACTTTAGATTATGATATCTTTGCTGGAAAATTGCAACTATGTTCCTTAAATTGAGAAGTTAGATTATTTTCTTAACTTTGTATAAACATCTCCAAACACGTTAGTTTTGAAATTCACCCAAAAAATTCAAAACCAAACAGGTCATCAACTCATCTTTTAAAATTTTCAATATAATAACTTACTCTCCTTCCCCCTCTCTTGTTCAGTGATAGTTCAATATATATATATATATATATATATATATATATATATATATATATACACACACACACATACAAAACTAGTTATAAAAAAAATACAAGAAAGTTGCGGGGAGAGGAAAGGCAAGGGAGTATATAGTTTTTCACTGAAACACAAAACCAATTTTGAAATGAAAGCTATACATGATTGATACGTCGGTAGCTCCAGAGCTATACTACACAATATGAAAGAAAGTAAACAATATTTCTTGTACTAGAAGGGCTCAACATTGAACGAGAAAATACAACATAAGATACAAGTGATAGTGAGACTCTCACCAAAACCTACTAGATTGGGAGATAATTAGAGAAGTAATTAGGATTGTTATTTAATGGTCCATACATGATTAATAGGGGATCTCAATTTAATGAAAAGTAAGTAATGCATATAAAACCTTTATCTTCACCTTTTAAATGATACTTCGCTTTGAAGTCAAGTGACAAACGCTTAGAAGATCTCTCCAGAAATTCAATCAATTCTTATGACTAATGTCCAACTTGTTACAGAAAATCCCTATCAAAAGAACTATCGAGAGTGAGATTAGTCAGTCTACTTGTTGGGAAAATAGGGTATCAAGAGTGGGCCTAATCAGTCAGTTTAACAATCAATGGAGTGGAAAGAAGAGGTATCTTATTGGTGAAACCAATGAGCCATTGTTATCTAATCTTCCAGCAGACCAACAATGGATGTAAGAAAATTTTATGGTAATTTCATGGTTAGTTAATTTAAGGTATCCAACCATTAGAGAGACT